GTATTCATGGAGTGGAGAGCCCCTCTTTTTTACCTGTCCCACATTGGAAGTCTCGGAGATCCCAGCCTGCAGTGGCTGCGGAGGCCACAGGACCTTTGAGTTTCAGCTTATGCCAGCACTGGTTAGCATGCTCAGCAGTGCCGATCTAAGTAAGAAGCTTTTACCAACTTCTTTAATGTGGATGACATTCAAATGAAATGCTTTCTTTAGTTATTAAATAGCAGATATATAGAAAATTCGAGAAATTGTAAGAAATTTGTAATCCAGTAAAATTCTAATATCGTCCCCACCAATAGCTATTTTGATAGTTTGAACAAGCTAATTTGTGCATGAGGAGGCCAGAAGAGAGCCTCACATCCCTGGAACTGGAGTTGCAGAGGGATGCGAGCTGCCCTGTGGGTGCGGGGGTGGCACTGGGTCCTCTGGAAAAGCAGCCACTGCTTTTAACTGCTGTGCCATTCGTGCTGCTCTTAGCATTTCTCATTACAGTACTATGTAGCCAGGCTTTTTGTTTTTGTTTTTTAAGATTTTATTTATTATGTATACATTCTTCTGCCTACATGCCAGCAGAGGGCACCAGATCTCATAACAGATGGATGTTAGCCACCATGTGGTTGCTGGGAATTGAACTCAGGACCTCTGGAAGAACAGTCAGTGCTCTTAACCTCTGAGCCATCTTTCCAGCCCTAGTTTTTTGGTTTTTTGTTTGTTTGTTTTTTGGTTTTTTGAGACAGGGTTTCTCTGTGGCTTTGGAGGCTGCCCTGGAGCTCACTCTGTAGAACAGGCTGGCTTCGAACTCACAGAGATCCTCCTGCCTCTGCTTCCTGAGTGCTGGAATTAAAGGTGTGCGCCACCAACGCCCAGCCCATGTAGACAGGTTTTAGTGACATTTTTGTTGTTTGTTTTTGAGATAGAGTTGCATGTATCCCACCCTGGCTTTGAACTTGATATATAGCTGAGAATCCCCATGAATTTCCGATCCTCGTGCATCTACCTCAGAGTGAGTTCTGGGATTGCAGGTGTGTGCCAGAATACACAATTGTTTTAGAAATTTATTTATATTTTATGTATGAGTGTTCGGCACACCAGAAGATGGCATCAGATCCTATTACAGACGGTTACTAACTACCATGTGGGTGCTGAAATTGAACTCAGAACCTCTGGAAGAGCAAACAGTGCTCTTAAAACCACCAAGCCATCTCTCCAGTCCCCAGAATGCCCAATTTTACATAATGAAACTTATTGTCACTTAACAAAATCTATGGCTCAGGATAAAGTAGATGTCTCAGTGGATAAATAATTTTGTCCCAAATACCTGACAACCTGAGTTTGATCCATGAATCCCACAGTAGAAAGAGAGAACTGATTCCCGAAGGTTGTCCTCTGGCTTCCACATGGTGTATATGGCATGCAAGCACCCCACGCCACCACCTAGACAGGCAGGCAGGCAGGCAGGCAGACAGACAGACAGACACACACACACACACACACTCTCTCTCTAAGTAAAATCAAATAAGAGCCATCAAGATGATTTAGCAGGTAAAGACATTTGCTGTATTACCCTGATGACCTGTGTTGCGTCCCAAACCCACCTAGAGGGAGGAAGGAGAGAGCCGCCTCTACAGAGTTGTCCTCTGACCTCCACGGGTGCACCTACACAGTGATTACAAATTAATTATATAGACTGCTTAGCTGGGGCTAGATAGGTATGTCTAGTCCTCCTTGGGAAGCTGAAGCAGGACAGTGCCTGAGAACAGCCTTGACAATACACTGACTGTTTCAAAAAGAAATGAATTAGGGTTGGGTGGGGGCTGCAAAGAGAGCTCAGTGACTAAGAGCACTGGCTGCTCTGGCAGAGGACCCAAGCTCAATTCCCAGCACTCACACGGTTGCTCACAACTGTTTGTAACTCCAGTTTCAGGGAATCTGATGCTCCTTTCCAGCCTCTGAGGGCACTGCACAAATGTATACAAGTAGGCAGAATACCAATACATGAAATGATAAAAAAAAAATGTTAAAATTCCAAACAAATTAGGACCTACGCCATGGTATATACCTTTAACCCCAGTACTTGGGAGCGAGTTCCAGGACAGCCAGCACTGTTACATAGAGAAACCCTGTCTCTTAAAATCAAAAAACAAGCAAACAAACAAAAAATATTACACACCTTTAATCCCAGCACACGGGAGGCAGGTGGATCTCTGTGAGCTCAAGACCAGCCTGGTCTAAAGAGCTAGTTCCAGGACAGCCTCCAAAGGAAAAAAAAAAAAAAGTTCTTTCTAAAAGTAGTTGATTTATTACATACTCCCTTTTTTAATTTTAAAGGGAAGTGTACAGTTTGGAACTGAAGAGATGGCTCAGGTAAAAGAGCATTTGCAGCTTTGTTCAGTTGCCCGCACCCACATGGCAGCTCACATCACCTGTCACTCTGGTTCCAAGGGATCCGATGTTCTCTGTGACTTCCTTGGGTTCCTGCATTCATGTGGTACACGTACATATACATAAAATAAAAAAGGGTCGTTTTATAGTACAGTAATATCTGACCATAGAGCTGGCCAGGCATGGTGGCATAGCCTGCTCTACGTAGTAAGTTCCGGCTAACCAGGTAAGACCCTGCCCAAGTCTCTGGGCGCTGTTAAGGGCAACATATCATGGCAGAACTATGTGGCTGAGCTAGGAAACAAAGAAAAACAGGATGATTAGGATGTCATGGGCTTCTTGGGGATTATGTACCTGATGACCTAAGGACCTGACCCATTGGCCCTACTTCCCAGAGGTCCACAGGGCCTTCCAGTTGTGTCCTCCTGGGGCCTAGCTTTTTCTTGTCTGTTTGCTACCGTGTGTAGCTGTGGCTGGCCTAGAACTTACTGTGGAGGCTTTTGGTTTGGTTTTGCTCTTTTTCAGGGCTTGGGATCAAACTCAACATTTTACCTTCCTGATTTTTTTCTTTTATTTTTGCAGTACTGAGGATGGAACCTGCAGCCTTGGTCATGCTAGGCAGGTGGGGTGCCACTGAGCTATATCCCCAACTCAGAATCATTTTTATTTCCATAAATTTCATAGCAGTGTTACCATTTTTCATTTTAATATAGCCATTTGAGTCCTTTTTTTTTGGTTTTTGTTTGTTTTTTGGTTGGTTGTTTTGTTTTTTGAGACAGGGTTTCTCTGCATAACAGCCCTACCTGTCCTGGAACTCACTCTGTAGACCAAGCTGGCCTTGAACTCACTGCTTCTGCCTCCCCGAGTGCTGGGATTAAAGGCGTGCCCCAGCAATGCCCGGTTTGCCTAACTTTGTACGTGGATTCTGGGGATCTAAGCTCTTCTCATTGGCTTGAGCTGCATGAGCTTTTACTCACACAGACATCTTGCTGGCCTTTGCGGGGGTGGGGGGGGAGGGTTGTGTTTTAAAGAAAGTTTAGTTATTATGGCAGTGACAGAAAGACTGCCTTTTGTTTTTGTTTTATGAGACGGGTGTGGTGTAGTCCTGGACAGCTTGAACTGGCTGTTTAACCAAGACTGACATTGAACTTGTGAGGGTCCTGTGTTCATCTTATCACAAATGTCCCTCTTAGCTGTCTCTCTGTTGGAATCTAGAGATCTTACTGTGGTGCTTTGCAGATCTTGTTGTGGAATTTGGAACGGTTCTTGTTTTCACATGTGAGCAGAGCTGCTGGCCTGAGACTCAGGAGACTCCCATGGAAGAATTCAGTATTGTACAAGAAGACCCAGATGAAGTTTTTTTTAAGTAGAACACTTTCTCTTATTTATACAAATTAAAATAAATTTTCACACTCAAATATATGTATGTTTACCTTATTTTAGCTTCTCCCTTCCCTTGACAGCAGTATGGGAACACTCCCACTAATCATGTCCCAGCACGCTCTTGACTCCATGCAGTGAGGACAGTGAAACCTGATGAGCACGGGGTGTGGTCAGGTGCACAGTGTAACTTGTGTGAATCCTCTCTGAAGGAAAGTGGCTGTGTGTACAAACTGAAGGTTCTGGACAGTGAGGTTCCAGCAGAGCTTGGCTGAACACAGACAGCACTGCAGAGAGCTGTTCACTCCTCTTTCTCTGCCATGCCAGGAAGTCACCACCGGTTTCTGTATGGTGCTTGTGCTGTAGACAGCAACTGCCTCAGCTGGCTAGACCAGTTACTCCAACTAGAGCAGAAAAGGACTGATTACGTCACAGCTGCAGCGCCTTGACTGTATTCAGATGGCCAGGGAGATGTCCCCTCTTGTCAGGGAGCATCACTTAACGGTATCTTTTTGAGTCAGGTGCTAATTCAGATGGTACGGGGGTTGGCTGGGTTGGGAGGTTGCTGGCTGGTTGAGTCTGGCAAGGCCCTGCTTTCATCCCCAACTCTTACCAAAAAACCACAACAAAAAAACCCAAGCCATTTATATCTTTCATACCTTTTCAGATTGTTAGGGGTTACATTGCTTATTCTCTTTTAGATAGTGTAGTTAATGATCTTGAACTTTTTTTTAATTTTGTGTAATGTATATTTGTAATTTTTTAGAAAATTAATACTAAAACATTTAAAGGATATGGGACAAAGTTCTGCAACTAATGTTATCTGCTATTTTCTAAAATTTTCTGCTCACTGACACTTTCCTCCCAACAGCAGTACCACTAACCAAACTCTTCCTAACATGAAGCACTTAAGCTTTTCAACATTCACATTCCTGGAGTGAAGTCTTTTCCCAAATATCTGTAAGGTTAGTAACATCTTCTCTTGGGGTTGTGCTTTGCTGGCATCATCATTAAAAAATTAAAAACAGCTCTGATAAAGCATGGTCACTACTATGTATCATAAAGCAGGTCCACATATGAGTACATATCATGTTTGTCTTTTTGTGACTGGGTTACCTCGCTCAGAATGGTTTCTTTGAGTTCCATCCATTTTCCTGCAAATTTCAAGATTCCCTTGTTTTTTTCTGCTGAGTAGTACTCCATTGTGTAAATGTACCACAATTTCCCTATCCATTCTTTGGTTGAGGGGCATCTAGGCTGCTTCCAGTTTCTGGCTATTACAAATAGTGCTGCTATGAACATGGTTGAACAGATGTCTTTGTTGTATGAATGTGCTTCTTTGGGGTATATGCCTAGGAGTGGAATTGCTGGATCCACCAATTAGTGGAATAGACTGATTCCCATTTTCCTGAGGAGTCGCCATACTGATTTCCACAGTGGCTGTACAAGTTGGCACTCCCACCAGCAGTGGAGGAGTGTTCCCCTTTCTCCACATCCTCTCCAGCATAAACTGTCATTGGTGTTTTCGATTTTAGCCATTCTGACAGGAGTAAGATGGTATCTCACTTTTTTTTTTTTAAAGATTTTATTTATTATGTATACAACATTCTGCTTCCATGTATATCTGCACATCAGAAGAGGGCACCAGATCTCCTAACGGATGGTTGTGAGCCACCATGTGGTTGCTGGGAATTGAACTCAGGACCTCTGGAAGAGCAGCCAGTGCTCTTAACCTCTGAGCCATCTCTCCAGCCCCTGATCTTGAACTTCTAATTTTCCTTTTATTTTCTTTTTCAAGACAGGACTTCTCTGTGTAGTTCTGGCTCCTGTCCTGGGACTCGCTCTGTATAGCAGGCTGTCCTCGAACTCACAGAGATCCACCTGCCTCTGACTCCCAAGTGCTGGGATTAAAGCTGTGCATCACCACCACCCGTGAACTTCTAGTTTTCTTCCTTCCATTTCCAAAGTTACAGGAACTTGCCATGCTTGATTTATATATAGGGTATTGGGGATCAAAGCCCCCGTGCATGCTGGCCAAGCACTCTGCCGATTTACCCACAGCCTCAGATCTGTTTTTAGTTTTCTGAGACACAATCCCATGTTGGCTCACACTAACCCATTCTCCCTCTGCTTCTCCATTTCCTACTTTAAGGTGAAGGTAAGCTGCTGACCAAATTTGTGTGTGTGTGTGTGTGTGTGTGTGTGTGTGTGTGTGTGTGTGTATACACATGGACTCGAAAAGATGAGCAGAGGCCACTGATGGCCTCTTCTGTGATTCTCCATTTTATTTGATGCACAGTCTCTCCCTCAACCTGAAGCTCAAAAATTTCTGCTAGTCTGGCAACCAGTGAGCCCCAGTGATTTTCCTGTTTCTGCCCACATCCGTGCTGGACGTATAGAGATACAGGCCTTCATAGACCATGCCCCACTTGGTATGTGGGTGCTGGCATCTGAATCCTGATCTCATGCTTACACAGCAAGCACTCTTACACACTGATCCGTCTCTGTAGCCCTGCTCAAGTATCCTTAAGTTTGGTCATATTGTGCTCATGGTTGCTGTTACATGTACTTGTAGCGGGTGATACCTGTTGAAACCATCCAGTTGGGCAGAGGCTTTCCTCAGTTCTCTAAGAATACATTACGCCATGTGAAGAAAACAAGCCTGCTCTGACCCCATTTAGATGCAGCACTGTGAGGCCATGGGTTGCAGCGCTAACAATGTCAGAAAAGGAAGTTACTCACTTTGTACTCTGTTAAAGACATGGGAACAGAGAGGCACAGTAGGACAGGGTTGTTGCATGGGGAGAAGGGGCTTCCAGCTCTTACTTCTGCTCTTAGCCTAAGGTCCTGTTGGAACTCGTTATGCAGGGCAAATATCCAGCCTCCTGGGAAGGGCATCTGTTAGATTAGCTTCAGGATGGTGTTTCTGAGTGCTGGGCCTGTTTGGGGGGAGAACTCAGCCTATATGCAGGACTCAGCCTCTGCACTAGTGAGGCTCTCTTGGTCTTCCTACACGTGATGTATAAGAAATCCTCTAGCCCAGCCTGTGTGTGGCTGGTGAGCCAATCAGCTGCAGAGAGAGACAACAGTTTAAATAGCAAAATCTTCTCTGTTTTCTGTCTTTAGAGTTAGTTGTCTTTTATGAGCATGAGCTGAGAAACATGACTGTGGTGATGCTTTATGATCTAATAAATAAAGTCTGCCTGAAGACCAGCGTGCAAAGCTAGCCACACTAGTCAGTCATAAGGGCCAGGCGATGGTGGTGGTGCACACCTTTAATCCCAGCACTAGAGAGGAGTATAAGGCGGGTGGAGCAGGAGCCCAGTGTGTTCAGTCTACAGTCACACTGAGGACAGGATCACCTCCTTTGGTCTGAGCCTTGGTAGAGGTGGAACTCTCTAGTGGCTGGCTTTGGTAATCTGATCCTCAGTTTGAACACCAGTATCTGTCTCTGGGTTTTTATTATTCCTGCAACACAGAACCACAGACAAATGCATAAAAATACCAACCGGGGTAGGCTCGGTGGTTAAGAGCACTGACTGCTCCTGCATAGGACCAGGGTTTGTTCCCCAGCACCCACAAGGTAGCTCACCAACATCCGGGACTCTAGTTCCAGGAGCTCTGAAACCCTCTTGCGATCTCTACAGGCTCTGCACGTACAGAACTCACCTACAGGCACGGAAGGAAGGAAGGTAGAGAGTGACAACAGAGTAAGAGACCCTGAGTTTTCCTCTACCTTCATACGCTTGCTCGGACACACAGAGAAAAGCCCATCTAATTAAAGCTGCCTGTACTGGGATCAGTGTAAGTTGGTGAATTCTTTATGGCCAGTTCCAAGACATAAAAGTAGGGGACGATCAGAGCTTGTGTGACCTGATTCCATCAGAGGCATTGAGAGAGTCACCTGCTGTGAACGGTGACAAAAGCCACAGTATATATCAAATAGGTGGGTGCAAAAGAAATTGCAGTTTTCGCATGGCTGAAATTTTCTGTTTTAATGTTGAAACATTTTAACGTTTATTTTCATTTTCTGTGTATGAGAGTGTGTTTGTGAGGATGTGTGCCATGTGTGTGTTTTCCTGCAAAAGCCGCAAGAGGGTTTTAGATTGCCCAGAAGGTAGAGCTATAGACAGTGGTAGCTGCCTTAACGTGAGTGCTGGGAACTGAACTCGGGTCCTCCGCAGTAGCAGTGTGAGCCCTTAACCTCTAAGCCACCTCGCCAGTCCATGGAGTATATTGGTAAATGTGGCTATGTTGTATGCCATTTTCATACGCATTTCCTGCTTTTTTCCCCTAACGACTTGCTTGCGGAGTTTACATTATGGAAATTATGTTAGACTAAAGGCAGATTTGAACCTGGGCAATGGTGGGTCCACACCTTTAGTTTCAGCACCGGGGAGGCAGAGGCAACAGATTGGAGGGATTTGCGATTTGAGTTCAGAATGGGCTGCAAAGCATCGACAGCACATTTGGTTGGCTAAGGGACATTCCCCGAAGCCGTGGCTCTGGGTCTGTGGATTCAGACAGGCAGGTCTGCAGAAGCAGTGAGTTCGAGCCTTGACGATGATGGGTGTAGTGACTGACATCTGCAGGAGCGGACCGTTCAATCAACGGTCATTTGCCACTTGAAGCAAAGTGGAACAGTGAACAGGCTGAACACTCGAAGCTGGTTTCGGCCTGCGACTCTGTCTTCACTGGTTCCACACAAGGGACCACTTGTCACACAGTGGGAGACGGGTTTAAGCTTTTCCCCCAGCATCTGTCTCACTGAGGGGGCTGCAGCGGTTGTCACTTGCCAAGAATGACCAGAAGGAAGAAAATGCAGCAAAGGCTGGTTCAGGAGGAGCTGAGCCACCTCATGAGGCATATGTATGCATGCATGCATGCGTTTTTAGCTCAGGTGCGTGGCTGTGTGAGGGGGTCAGGTCCCCAAGAACTCACCTAACGCTGTGTAACGAGGCTAACGAAGCTCTCTATGACAAACCCTAAGGAAACTCCCCCAACTGCAGCCTTAGTGCCCAGCTCCGGTCTCAGAGACTAAAGAGCAGGCTGGCCTCCAACTCACAGACATCCCCCTGCCTCCGCCTCCGCCTCCCAGGTGCTGGGACTGAGGGCGAGCGCCGCCACCGCCAGGCTGTGGCTTCTTCTTCTTTAGACTCTGACTTGAGGCGTTTTCTCCGGGAGCTCAAACCAGGCCGTTGGCCGGCGACTCCGCCCCACAGACCCGAGGCCTCTCCACAGCTCCACAGGCCCGGGCGGCTCCACAGACCCGGATCTCT